ATCTTGTTTGGAGATTGTTACATTAGGTAAGCTTTTCAATGTTTTCATAAACCAAGATAGCCTGTTAATTATTTACAATGATAACTCAGTTGCTCAAATATAAGACAAGTATGAGAATCAAATTTTCCCTCAGTAGACCAAGATTACAAAAAGACTAAACCCTGCTACTTATGTATTAAGTCCTACCTTCTCTACTGAATCATTTCAGCCCCGGTTGATGCTAGATATCCTGTTTATGCATGTAGAAATTACACAAGACAATTAATATGAAACAAGATGAGACTTTTTTGGGTGAATAAACAAGATGAGACTTGTCAAAACATATATATGACACAGGATGAGTTTTTCTGAAATGATGCTCTAACCTAATTTTCGTGTGTGCATTCATGTACACCTTGGAAACTCTTGCTAAATTAATGAGATTTGCTTGCCATTGATTTCAGGAGCTTAAGGATGTTCTTCAAAATTTTCCTGAGATTGCAGAAGTCGTTGGCAGTGTATATGCAAATCAAGTGTTAAACATCAACCATGAAGATGGGGAGGAAAAAGTAAATCAATTCTGCAGTCAATATTCACCCAACTGATGTTTGCTTGCTAGGATGTGATTTCCAAAGCATTATCCAATATGAAAAGTCGCCTCAACCTGGCAAGTTTGCAATCCTGCCTCTGTTTATATATTGTTAGTTTTTTGGACAATATATTGTTTTAAATGCTTGATTATCCTTTCAAATAGATCCCTTATTCGCCCTCCATCAAATAACCCACACATATTGCATTCTTTTTATCTAAAAACGATTTAAGATATCACTGACTCATACTAGTGTCAACGTTGGGTTTATACTTGTTTTAACGTTTATACTTGTTTATTCCATTTCTTATAGCGACAAAGGGGATTATGATAATCAAGCCTTCATAATATTAGAACCAAATGTCCACTTGTAGCAGCAAAACGTTTTTTTTTTTTTTGGGGGGGGGGGTACTGTCAAAATGGGCTTTCACTTCGCCTGCTTTAAATCTCATTTGCACCAGACACACCAGGACAAGCTAAGCTCTATGCCCCATGCTAAAACGGGGGCATAACCAAGGTTAAGAATAATTCATCCTAAGCGGCAATCCATAATGATGAGTCAAATCAGTGCATCCTCCGATTCTAGCAAGAATGTCAATTTTATTAGTTGCCCCATTGGCTGAAGCATATAAACTCTGCGTATTAGGCTGCTTGGTCATGGATCGTAATTAGCCTAGTGGGCTCTTGCGCAAGTCTGTTGCTGTCTCCACTTGGTGAATTCCAGGACATGTGAGATGGATAAATAGGTTGGCCAAGCTAGAGGCATCTTTCTAGTTTGTGCTCTGATCAGTATTCAACACTTTTGGAAGGGCTTTCTGCATATGAAAGTCACTAAACAATGTGTTTTCAAATTCTATCATTTCTTTGTCCTTGTCCTATTATCATGATCACATTTTTTTGAAGTAAAAATATTGTCCTTCTCATTTTGCTTCAGGTGAGGCAGTTGACAGATAAGGAACATCTAGTATTGCACCTAGAAAAGCAGTATCCAGCTGATGTGGGTGTCCTAGCAGCCTTCCTCTTTAATTATGTCAAGCTTAAACCAGGTGAAGCGTTGTATCTAGGGGCAAATGAACTCCATGCCTACTTACATGGTGAGTGTATTGAATGCATGGCAACTTCAGACAATGTTGTGCGTGCTGGCCTAACTTCAAAGAACCGGGATGTCCAAATTCTTTGTTCCATGCTCACATACAAACAGGTGAAGATATTTTTCATTGAAAAATTCTGTTTAGTGGTTCTTGTTCTTTTTATTTTTATTTTTTCCTTTTTTAATATTAAACCTAACTAATCCATGAGGCCTGTAGCACATAAAACCCTGCAATATCCAAGTATGCTTTTCTTTATAAGATGCCAGAAACTAGATGCCCAGCCAAATTGACTATATGGGTGGGCATAACTTTCTTCTTTTTAATAAATCTGAGGATCAAAAGCATAAAGGACAATCTACCTCCTACATAGCTACCTGCATACCTGCTTATTTTCCCCACTTTCCATTCTTTTTGTCCACTAATGCATTTTGGGATGTTCCAAATGGTTGTCCGTTTTGAAAAGTCAGTATTTTATCTTGTTTATCATCTTTGTAGATAGCGTGAATGCATTTAATAGAGTAAAATAGAGGTATGGTTTGGAAATTCAGAATATATTAGTTGCGTACGAACACATTTGTCCCCTTAAAAAGGAATTTTTCTTAGTCAACAAAAAAGAATGGGTTGGATATGACTACTAATCCATCGTCCTCCTTTCTATTTTATTTGGTTATTCATTTTGTGTGGAGGATCTTGTGCATAAATAGTTTTTACTATGATAAGTTTCTTTCTTGTTATTCTTCCATACTATAATATCTTGTTTTTGAGTGAGAAATTGATCATACAGAAATTTCTTGGTTCCAATGGAAATTATCCAGTTTGAAGACAAAGGATGTAGTAAACTTGCTTCCCTCGAATTATTTATCCCTCCTAGCAATCAGTCGTGTAACTCCTAGCAATTGTAATCAGTGGGGTAATAAATCCAGCTACATTACCCGCATGTTTTTGTGTGCACATGTAGGTGCAACTCTTTCTTAAACACACTATTATACTATTCTTGAGAAGTAAACAGACTGGTGGACGACTATGAATGTGCACTGCGGATCCTTAATCACTGTATTGGATTTCGATATCAAACGCAGTTGTTCCTTCACTTACTGATACATTGAATTACAGAAATTGCTCTCTTTGTTCTCACATTTTCAAAACTAGAGTTTTGCAAATATTATACCCTTATTCTATTGGCTTCTTGTGTATTGCTGATGTGACTCTTTAGCTATTTACCAGTGTGGAAGATACTGTTAATAGTTCAGGTCAATCTGTTCTCTATTTTCATTGCATCTAACTCGGTGTTTTGTTGCAGGGCTTTCCTGAAATTCTGCAAGGAGTCCCTTTAAATCGATATACCAGAAGGTACCTCCCTCCTTTTCATGAATGTGAAGTTGATTGCTGCATTCTACCCAAGGGAGCATCAGCTGTTTTTCCAGCAGTCCCTGCCCCCCCAATTTTTGTGGTCATGGAGGGAGAAGGAACAATGTATGCGACGTCCTTTGTAGATGTAGTTAGGGAGGGTGATGCTCTATTTGCACCTGCAAATACTGATATAAGCTTGAGAACATTCTTTCAGGCCTCTTGAGTTGGAGCACGGCACGATCTTTCATGTGGCTCGTAATTTGGTTAATTATAAACACCATTGGTATCGGTTTGTAGTATTGTATTTTATGTAATATTATGTGTTGCATGTATGTGCATGAACAATTATGATACATAGCAAGAGTTAGACAAATAGTGAAATAACAGTTGGAAGGGAAATATGTAGGCAGGTTTGCCAAGACTATGAAGTTGTTGGTAAATTTTACAAATTTTATTGCAAGGGATTGATCTTCAAGGTGAAAACCCATTATCTGTAGTAATGGAGGCCAAAAATCAATGTGGTTGTAGTCTTCCCGAAACTCTTACTTAAATGAGCGGCGCACTCTTGCATAAGAGAAATGTTTTCTGGATGGCAAAAGATAAGAGTTGAGCCAGCCAAGTTCTTTTTACTAGATTAAGAGCCGAACAAGGTTACGTCCTCAAATTTATTTCCCATGTAAATATATTTTTAATTATTAGATCATATAATTTTGAGACATGAATCTGAAAACATTATCTAATTGCTAGAAATGACAGATTTGAGAACAGAAAATCTCAATACTCAACAAATCTGAAAACTTCGTCCAAATTTTTAGGCTTTGAATTTAACACTCCCAAAAACAGTAGGGCATAAACAAACGAAAAAAAAAAAGGGGCAGAAATCAGATACTTTGGGATATTCCAACCACCAACTAGGGCTGAAAAAATCAGCCAACTCTTAAATTCATTCATGTTCAACTCATTAAAAAACCAAGTAAACAAAACTAAATTCAACCGCATTGGGAATATTTGGTGAGGCTTTTTTGAGCCAACTTATGACTTCTAACTTTTAAAAAATTATTTTGAACTGTTTAGTTAAACTTATTTCAAACAGTTTCTAATTCTAACAACTTCAAAAAAACTGATTATGAGATGCTGCTTACCTCTTTGCTTCTGATTATCAGTTTCTGCTATAGACATGTTAATTCACGGTTATACTCTTAGAATTTTTTATTTTTTAAAAAAAAAAATAGAAAAAGACCCACATAGACTATAAAATATTATTATTATTTTTTATGAGAAATATAGACAAATCGTGAATAATAAAAAATAAAAGTTCATTGAAAAAACTACTTCACAACTTATTTAACAAGCATTACTCAGTAACTTAAATCTATAATCCAACAGCTATACCAAACAGATTAACAGCTTCTGATTAAAATCATAATCTATAATCTGTTAAGCTATAATCTATAATTTGTTTTAATAGCTATACCAAACAGCACCATTGTCAAGCACATTATATTCTCAAATCAAACTTAAATAATACATACTTAACTCAATAATGAACTTATATACGTAGTTTGATTAAAATTTGTTTGAAAACAACTCAAAACAAAAACAAATCAATTTTTTTTTTTTTTGGTACAAAGAAAAATAAATCACATTTTGGGTCAACTAAACTCATTTACAGTCCTATCTCCAGCCCTGAGACCACATTTTCAGCCATAAGACCACACCCCTATACCAACATCAACTACACTAGCAAAGGATCACAACAACATAGCAGCACTGATTCATAATGGCGACTTAATGCACCTATTTCTCCCTTCCAATTAAAAGCCATCACCCCAACTGAGAATAAAGCAAGAAATCATGAATCATACATCACTTGCTCTACAAGATTTATAAATTAAATGCCCTTAAGGTATATGAGCAAACCAAATCCATTTGTTCCTTGCAACTCACCAACATAATAGACATAGCAAACACAGCAGAAAAATCTCAACAAGTTGGGGAGAGAACAAACTTTACTTCTCATAGAAGCATAGGAGTTCCAAAATCACATAATTTTTCAGAAATTTAAATGAACACATAAAATAAAAGAAACATTTAAACCAAGTTTCCAGCTTCCTAACCAAAAGATTATCAATCCATTCTCTTGAGTCAAAATTTCAAATACTTTGAACTAAATGCAATAATATAGGTCTTACACCAGAACAGGAAAGCTAGTTTAACAGCAGATCTCTTAAGCCTCGGTCATGGGATATTCAAAGACAACATCTTTTCCAGAAAGCTTCCGGTAAACTCCAGCAAATGTCTCCAGCTTGTACTCGGTGTCGTTGCGTGCCTTGGGATCCAAGAATATCTGTCAAAAGTAACACAAATATTGCATTCATTAGCACTGTAAATAATATTTTTTAAAAAATCTAAAAACTTAACAAAACGAACAATTTCATTTCTCTACCCATTGACCATAATGCTTTTCAATTACCTTGATAATCTTTGACCCATCAATTCTATATCTAACACGCTTTCCAACAATCTCAGCAGGATAAACAACATCCTCGAGCATGGCATCATGCACAGATGTAAGAGTGCGGGAGCGGGGTCTCTGAGCAGCAGAACCTTTCTTTGGTGGCCGCATTATTCTTCGGGTTGCAATAAGAACGACATCCTGATAAACATTCATTAAGAGTAAATGATTAAATAATATGCACACTTGCATCGAAGAAACAATCTACCAAACAGGTTAAAAAAACATATAATTGAAATCAAAAGAAGAAATCCAGCAGAGGATTCAAATCCCTCCAGAACATGTTCTAACTTAATTGGTAAACCATACAAAAGACTGTCCATTTGATTATTTTTAAAATTCCATTTCAAGGAATTATTTAAATGATATTGTTGGTAGAAAATTCTCAAAATCAGAAATAAATTACTTGGTATACTTTCGGAAAAGCAATTAAAATGGGACCAATCAGAGGACCTAATTTATCCTGATGCTCATCATGCATGATTTTGGAGGGAGTAGAAACAAATGTGCACAAAAGAGCTGAAAAGACAATGAAATCATAAAATAAGGCATCTTCATAGTTGACACTCCATCTGCCCAAAGAGAACATAACAATACTAATTATGGTAATTATTCACACATTCTCTTTGCAAATCAGTTTTGCACATCACTCTATAATGCTTTAGAAATGTATGATTTTCAACCTCAATTTAGCAAGTCAGCCACAAACAAAAATACAATTGGTAATTGTGTGATCATAACAAAATATCTCTATGTTACAAACATTATATACCATTATTTTAGATTTGCACTACACAACAGATTTGAATAAATTTCCAATCAAGAATATGCCCATACAGAAATCAAGAATTGCAAAGGTTACCTTCCCACTGAACTTTTTCTCAAGTTCTCTAACTAGCCTAAGATGAATCTTACGAAAAGCTTTCCTCAATCTATAAGGAACATGGATAACAACAGCTTTGCGGTTTCCAGACACATCAATTTGACTGCAAAGAGAAAACATTTTAACTTTATAACCGAGCACACATCACTTGAAAGGGATCAAACAAAGCAAGCATACGTTGAAACACTTACACTGACGCATTGATGTAAAGGTCTTTCAAATCACTCTTAAGCTCCTGGTTTGTGTTTTCCAAATCAAATAATGCCTGCAAAGAAATCAAGAATTGATGTCTTCATTGTAGCTTTCACATCCCTAAAGATTTGAGGAGCAACAAAGTAACAGATAAATTCAATAAAAGTGAAAATGACCTGTGCAACTGTCTCCTCAAATTCAGTGGGTTCCGCATCCTTATCTTTGTGTATCTTCTTCCTTGAAGTGTACATCTTAACAGATCTTGTATTAACAAGTAAGATATGTCAGGAGTAACATTGGAAATAAAATTAGAGGTCAACCTATGAACAAAATACTTAAGAAACAAACCACAGGCACAAAATTGAATAATAGTACTTTGTGATTAATTTGTTATAGTTTTTACATCTCTACAATAATATCCAAACATTAAAGTAACAAAAATAATAATTAAAATCATTTCAACTTTATTTTAAAACTATTAACTTCAGTTTCTGTAAAAGAAATTAACAGATCAGGAAAAAAAACAAGAATAGTTTGCCAATTGCAACAGTCCAATCATTTATTATTCTGAGATTCATAATCTTTCATTTTCATAGTAGGAATAATGGAGTATAATCCCTAAGCAGAAAAAATAAAGTCACGAAATGAATCAAGGCATTTTCAATAACTGTTATAATGAGCAAGTGTTAACTACAGCACCTGTGAAACGTTTTTCTCGTTGGTGAACTTCATACTCACAATTTCCCATTAGAAGATCTTGCTGAATTAACAGTGAAAAAAATATCTTTTTGGGTGCCTATTTTTGTGATCAAACAATGCAAAATTTTCTAAAGGTGTAATATCTAAGAATGTACAATAATCTATAAACCTTTTTTTTTCTTTAAATATTAAACAAAAATGATACAAAAATCAAGTTAATAAGTTGTGGCATAATTCGCAATGAAGATGATACAAAAACGTCATAAAGGGTTCCCATCTACACCATGTGGAAAGAGTAAATTGTGACTATCTAAGCTTTGACACAAAACAATGTTTACAACCCAAAAACAACCAGGGGATATGTTTGGTACATGTACATTCAATCTAAATTGCATATCAATTTGGAACAGAATACATCTCATTTAATCAAATTGTGCCATAATAACAAGGAACAACAAATACAAAAGAAGAAAAATCATTTACACCCGATCAACTGACCTCAAACACAAAAACCAGAAACATCCATATTAATACTCATTTTCCACATCATTCAAGAAAATAATCCCATATCCATCCACAATATGAAACAATTCCACAAATTAGACCCATGAAATTCATTTGTTATGACCAAGAACAAAATAAGATCCACTTATGTATACAACATGCATACACACACACATATATATACACCCACACAGAGCATAAACAGCTTAATCTCCAATTGATACAACACAATATTGAAACTAAAAGGGAAAAAAAAAATAGAACAACCCAAGTCTAAACATCTTGTTGTATACCTAGAAACGTATATTTAAAACAGTAGATGTTTAGATCTCTGAAAAAAACCAAGGGATTCAGTGAGGCTTTCTAGTAATCGATTAGAGAAAGAGAAGTAAGATAAAATAAAGAGAACCCAATTGGAGATGACCCACACAGACCTTGAGAGGTGAAGCGAAGATCGTATCTGATCTATCTGTAACGATGAAGGAGGCACTCGGTTCGGCTTCAACTCCAGAGTACACGAGGGAGAGGAGTTATGCGTTGAGAGGAGGGTTTAAAAGGGGGGAAAGAGAGATACGCGATGTAGCCCTAATTTGGACGGCTAAGATTAAATTTTAGGGTTGGATTATATATGATGTATATGATATATGATGATGATGATTCGCCATAGGCCTTGGCCCAATAGGCAATGCAGTCCGCCCAATATCCTTATTTTATTATTTTTTATTATGGGCCTATTTTTTTGTTTTAATTGGGCCCATGTCAATTGTGTGCTTTTGTATATTATTAGGTTATGCTATTTCAACCACACACACACAAAACCAAAAAAAAAAACAAAACAAAAACATTGGGTTATGCTATTGTGACCAAAAAATAAATATATAAAAATACAATAGAAATAGAATTTATATCAAGAATCCTAAAATGATGCCTATTCATATTCATTTGTTATAAATTCAAAAAGTTCAACAGTTTGATATCATTTTTTATAAATTTTTTGTATAAACATTAAGTATAATTATAATAAAAAATTATTTATAATTATTTTTTGAAAAAAAATATGAATTGTCATTTTTTGTGTGTGTGTGTTCTAACGAGCACTAACAGCCATGTGAGCTGGGTGGGCATAGAATTGGACCTAACCCATGTCTTGATCTATCATCAAAACATTGATGCCTATAGATTTCACAATTTGACTATAATAAAACCGTCTTATAGCATAATAAATTTATTAATCATGAATTAGAAAAGGAAGGGGGGGGGGAATGTAAATTTATATACATATGTGTGTTTTATCTAGTAAATCTTGTGATGTAAAATTGCTTCTCTCTTTTTATTTTTCTTTTTATTTTTCTCCTTTATTTTTATTTATTTTTATTTTTTTTTTGGGTGTGTGTATAAGATAGGAAAAACTTAACCACTAGGATTTGGTACTTGAAATTAACCGCTAGGAGTTGGTACTTGAAATGAATTGTAGACCTAAACATCTTAAACTTTCGATAAAGTCTTCTGACTTAATTGATACACGTGATTTGTGAGTGATTACAGATATTTAAAATTTACTCTATAAAAATAAGTCCAATGTGACCTTACATTGAGGAGGTTCCTTGTCACGAAAACTTCCTTATATTATACCAAACATTCCTCAACTTTATCTTGTACTACATCCCATAATTCCATAAACAAACATTGCCCATACCATGGATATATATCTTTAGTAATTCCACTTGAAAAGTACTACCACATCATAGAATTACCTCCCATATGTGTCCCCTTGTTTAATTCCTCAACCCCACACTGCAACATCAGATTCCAAGACTCCCAAGTTATATATGTCTTGCACTCTTCAACTTCCCAACAAAATCTGAATACCCCCTTGTTATTGAAACCCCTCATGGATGATTTCAGACAACAACAGTTGGAGAGCTTTAGCCCCTCTTATGCAGCCTCATATACAGATATGAAGTACATGGAAATAATGGACCACCTTACAGAGCCAAATTCGACCATGTTTGAGAATTTCAACATGACAGATATGCTAGAAGAATCTTTCATGGTTGATCACCAACAACCTGAAATCCAAGGGACTAATTTTAAAATTCTTCCGTGTACTTTTGAGTCCAACTGCATGAATACAGTGCCAGTTTTTCTTGATATGGCCACATCATCAAATACTGAAGATGTTTTCCATGAGAAGAAGAAGAGAAAAGTGATGGAACAATCAAGTAGCAACTCCATCAATATGTCTTCTACAGTTCCTGGAAATGGATGGAAAGTAAAAAATGATACAATGAAAAAGAATGTGAGTCTCCATTTCCTTTTCCCTTTCCTTTTTTTACTTTTTGCAATTGTTTTCATTCGAGGTTGATTTTGTGAGTGTGGGGTTTTTTGTTTGATGTTTTTTCAGAGCTCAGGAAAAGGAAAGAAAAGTATGGACTATGAGAAGGAAGCAGATGAATCAGAGGAAGTGATACATGTTAAAGCAAGAAGAGGCAAAGCTACAGATAAGCACAGTTTAGCAGAAAGGGTACAAATAGATGATACCTTTGTCTCAATTTCATTTGCATGATTAAAACGATGGTTAAGTTATTAATTATCGTTTTATTTTTATTATAATTATTATTTCCTTTTTGTAAATAAATGTGAAGATCATTAATTTATGAATTGAACTGTGATACAAATGTCTTGACCCATCTAGGTTAGAAGAGAGAAAATCAACAATAGATTGAAACGCTTGCAAATCATTGTTCCCGGATGCTACAAGGTAACAATTTTGATTCACTCATGCACACATGGACATAGATCCACTTGGTCATATAAATTAGTTTATTGTGAGAAAATAAATTAAATGTGTTAATTCTACAAAACTATGCACAAACACAACTGTATTATGTATGTATGTATTCTTTGATTGGTATGTGGAATGCATAGTCTATGGGAATGGCAGCAATGTTGGATGAGATAATCAACTATGTCCACTCATTGCAGAATCAGGTTGAGGTAAGTCACAGACAAAAGTACTTCATTCGCCCATTTTTTTTGAAGTACAGAATCTATTCTCAAGTTAATTTAATGTATACCCAACTTTCAGTTTCTTTCCATGGAACTTGCCGCGGCAAGTTCTTTATATGACTTCAACTTGGATGCAGAAGTTATCAGCAATAGTGCAGGTGCTCCTTCAAGAACCTTGAAAAGGTCAAATCATTAATTTCTAAACATATTAACCAAATAGGACTTGTGTAAAAGTGTTACTGACTCTTAAATTTTGTAGGGGACAAGATACACATGAGGCAGGGGAGCTGGTGAAAATGGCAATGAAAGGACACGAAGGATGGACTTGCTTCCACTCAACACAGTCTCTTTGACAATACTTTTGGCCCCTTATCTCCATTGCTAGAAACACACATGAATGTGCTCCCTTGCCCCACTTTCCCCCTTTCAAACAAATCAAATCTGTTCCCTGTGTACATAGCAGATGCGCTATTGATATTTGCACTGTCCATGTAGTTCCGAGGTTTAAGGTTTATGATGTCGTCTATTTCTCCATCAATGTGTTCTAAATCATATGTTTTTTGCAACTTATTGTACCTGTTTGTGATATATAGTTGAGATAAATTTCTCATTTTTTGTTGTGCATTAAGTTGTTAGTATCTTGTTATTGAAAAGTAGTAAACAAAATGTAGAGAGATTAATTTGAGTTGTTATATCTGGTAGTTCAAAATCAACCAAATGGAGGAGCAGCACTATCTAATCTGTTACTTTGTCATAAAGGTTCAACAAATGTCAAAATTATCCACAAAACCAAGAAAAATAAATTGTAAAATGGAAACAGCCAATTATCTGTAACGTAACGTCTATAAATATCGCTTTGTCGGATAACCAGCTGCCAGTTGCATTTTTCCTTTTCCCACTGCCTATTTTGAGTTCACATCAAGTGAACAGTGTGGGTTGCATTAATGGAAGAAGCCATCTTCTTGTTGAATTATCCATAGGTTCCAATATTCAACAGTGTCTATAAAATGAAAACAAGACAACCAATGATCCCATAAATAAGCATCATAAAGGCATAATAAATAAATAAAAGATATCGATCACATAACACTCATAAAGGATGGGTCCCATGATGGGACCACACCATTGTGAGTGTTATGTCCATTTATGTGCACACAGAACTCCAAAAGCATAATCTAGTGGATGTTCCCAATTCATACATAGTGGATGAAAGCAGCAGATACATTGCATGCCACAAGATATCAGATCAAGAGAAGACTGCTTGAATGGGCCATATCATGCTCACAAGAGGATGAGACAATGTGGGTTCTCAAATTTTCCCAAGTGAAAAGGGCATATGAATCTTTAAAGCATCTACAGACTCTACACAGTGCTTTTCTTTGATTCCTCTCTTTACCATTTTTTCCTTGGCTTTTTGAGAGTGAATGCACAACACTAGCGTTGGGTCCTCTCTTATTGGATAGACACAATTCCAAAACAGTGAGGTTTAAAGGTGATAAATCCCATCAAAGAATTTCACTTCACATACACTGTGTGAAGGCACGAAATCCGTTATCTTTAATTTCTCTGTCCCTTTGTCTCCAAAGCTCTCTGAGCCACACGATATCAGTGAAACGGGAATTTTGAAGACATTATTCGGTCCTTTGAAAACATCTATTCCCCTAACAACCCTATTGGAGTGATTAACCTAATAAATCTATCTTTATATAATCTGTTTTTGCACCCATTTTGAATGGGGAGTGAACCAATAATTTTGGCATTGCATTTAAGCAAAAAATTAATTGACTACCACATAGAAGAATAAAAATATCTCATATTTATTAATTTTCGCTGCATTTTCCACATATGCATCCTCTTAAATGCTATTATTCCAAATACATTAGTTTGGTTATTGATGATACTATTTGAGAGGGTAATTTATATGAAAATTGGGCCGAGCTGGGTAATGGGCCGTCATGGGCCACAATACGAAGGGCTGAGTAAAAAGGCTTTGAAGTTAGTCCGGTCCTAGAGCCCCGAAGCTAGTCCGGTCCGGAGGAGACTTGAAGATTAGTCCGGTTTAAAGACGCTTTGAAGTTAGTCTGGTCTCAGAGTTAGCCTGGTTATGGCGTATTGTGGTTAGAACAGTCAAAACCTTACTATTCGGTAGCTCGGTCTAATCACACCATGGTTTGTACATGAGAGAACCGAGATAAGGTGTAGTGAAAGGAAGAACCGAACTAAGGATAGTTCGGGGCGGCTCAACATAGCCATGATTACCTCGGTCCTATTAGAAACCTACCATGGTAGAACCATCTCACTTGGTTTAAGCAGTGAGGGGGGTTTTGAAGGATAAGCATTATCTTTCAGAAGTATGAATCCTAGGAGGACTCTACATGGAGGAGTAAAAGTCCTACTAAGATTGTGTCACACGAAACCTATAAAAACTCACAAACATCACCTTTGGAGAGGTAACACAACTTTGTTTTCTGAATACATAGAGTTTTTGTCTATTTGTCAAGCTTACTGACTTAGGCATCGGAGAGGTTTCCGGCACACACCCGACGGCTAGCTCACGTTTGTGTTTTCAGGTGATAAAGCGATGACGTACAGAGGAGCGCAGACTTGATCAACAGGATTATACGAGAATGTTTATTTCTTTCCCGTACAATTGGCGCCGTCTGTGGGAAAAACAGACAGGACAAAACCTCTTGATCAAGCTTTGCCTCTTTGGGAACAATGGCGCACAATGAAGATTTACCACAGTCCGTCATCGACGGGCAAACACCAGATGGGGGTGCAAGGCGTGAAGGACTACCTTCTATCCCTCCCATGGCGGACTTGGAGCCCCAACGACATAACTCCAGGAGGGATACTAGGGGGAGACGGACTCACAGCCCCCGTCACTCTCATTCACCGAGTCCTGACAGACAAAGGCGGAGGATTGATCCTCAAGTCCTGGAGGACCGCGTAAAGGAGCAAGACGAATTAATAAGGAAGATGGCGGCGGACATGGAGGCCTTGAAGCGCCAGATGAAGGAAAAATGAGTGGCAACAGGAGAGGGGCGCAAAAACAAGACGCCCCCTCGCCGCTCAGAAGACCATGGAAGGCATTCCACACCATCACAAGCAGAGAGTAGAAGCCTCAGGACAGGCGATACTCAATCTAGAACCGCCAGAACTCGTTACTCCAGATCTGAGAGAACGAGATCATTGAGGTCTTACATAGAGGGAAGTACCTACCGACCCTCACACTCATACCAAACATCATCCAAACAGACGGAGTTGCCCAGATCATTCGATTTGCAGATCATGCTGGAAGAAAAGGCACGATGGAAGGAGGACACCAGGGCGCGCCACCCTCGCAGAGTTTCTGCCCTTTAACGATTGGCTCCTCGATCGCATGAAAGCATCGAGGTTGGAATGCCATTACCACGCCCTGCCTACGAACCGACGGACAAAGCATTAGCGAGGCTGCAGACCTCGCCGTTCGTTCCGGCAATTGAAAACGCGCCCCTACCTACAGGCTTCCTTCAGCCCAAATTCACTACGTACGAGGGGAAAACGGACCCCTACATTCACCTAAGCCACTTCCGCCAGGTTATGGCGGTGTATCGGCGAAACGAGGCTCTAATGTGCATCCTCTTCCCGTCAAGCCTTGGCGATCTAGTCTTGACTTGGTTTGAAAAACTTCCAGAAGGCAGCATAGCCTCCTGGGCGCAATTGGCAGAGGCGTTTGTCACAAGATTCAGAACAAACCCTAAAACCCCGGTGGAGATTGACCAGTTACTCTCCATCGACATGGGTGAAAAAGAGACGCTAAGGTCCTACAATAGTCACTACTGGGAGACATTCAACCAGATTGGCGACTGCCCCACCAATCTCGCCATTGCACAATACAAAAGAGGCCTTCCAGTCGGGAATAGGCTAAGGGACTCAATCACCATGACACCACCCCTCACCATGGAAGCCTTGATGAAAAGAGTGCATCAGCACATCAGGGTGGAAGAGGATGCGCACGTGCCAAAACAAAACCTGGCACGACCACAGTACCAGAAAGGAAGACCTCAGCAAAGGTCAATGCGGTAGATCGTCAGAACAGAAACGGACGTGGCAGGCGAGACAGCGGAGAGGACCGGATAAAAAGATGGTTGAGGGTCCGCACGGCCACAACCACGGTATTCAAGAAACCGATCTACCGAATTCTAGTGAAATAAGAGATGAGCCTTTCGTCAGATGGCCAGCCAAACTAGGGGAAGCGCAGAAGGACTATGACGAAAGATCACGGTGCACCTTCCATAAAGAAAAGGGGCACCGCACTGAGAATTGCACGCCATTGAGACAACACCTGGAGGAGTTGGTAGCAGCAGGACACTTGGATAAATATATTGAAGGAGGGACGCAACCAGCCTCCCAGGACCATAATAACCCCAACGGGATGCCAGTCGACACCCCACCTCAAGGCATTATCATTGTGATACATGGAGTCTTTGAACCTGAGCGTGTATGCGAGCTCAGGGGATCAATCAAAAAGGCTGAACACTTTAGAGAGGTGCTAAGTGCCCAACCTGCCATCAAGAAGGGAAAGACAGAGGCCACAAACGTCATGTCTTTTTCGGATAAAGACTTGGAACGGATATATTGCCCTCACAATGATGCCCTGGTCGTCACTCTCCGAGTCAAGGATTTTGACGTCAAGCGGATTCTGATTGACCAGGGTAGTTCATGTGAAATCATGTACTACGAAACATTTAAACAATTGAAGCTGCAAGACAAAGACTTGGCGCCTGCCGTATCTCCCCTAATTGGATTCAACTCCATGCCAGAATGGCCCGTCGGCAAAATAATCCTTCCAATCAGAGCAGGAAGCGTGACGAAACAAGTGGAGTTCTGGGTATTGAAGGTCCCTTCATCTTGGGCAGAACATGGCTGTATGCCATGCGATCGGTGGCGTCATCCTACCACTAAGTAATGCTGTTCCCCAACGATACCGGGGTAATTGAAGAAGTCTATGGAGATCAGATCATGTCGAAGCAATGCTTCGTCACGGTGAATGGCAGCCGCGCTGCCAAAGGATACGTTCATTCGGTGGAAGAACCTGAGAACAATGATCTGTTCGCAGATGTCGACAAAGCAACTGATCAGAAAGCGGTAGAGGACTTGGTGGAGGTGAGAATAGATGAAAAGAACCCGGATAAGTTCTTTTTGCTCGGTTCATCATTGTCCAGCACTGAGAGATTAGAGGTCTTGGAATTTTTAACCTCTAATATCGAAGTATTTGCCTGGACACCATACGACATGCCAGGCATTGATCCCAACTTCATCTGTCACCAACTCAACGTCCACCCATCCGCCAGACCAATCATTCAACGCACCCGTAGATCGGCACTCCACCATGCCGAGATAGTGGCGGAAGAAGTAGGAAACCTGCTGGAGGCAGGAGCAATCAAAGAGGTGCACTACCCAAGATAGATCTCCAACACAGTTGTGGTGCCAAAGAAGAATGGCAAGTGGCGTGTCTGTGTCGACTACAAAACAGTCAACAAGGGTCAACAAGGCATGTCCGAAAGACAGCTTTCCTCTACCACGGATAGATCAACTGGTAGACCTAATGGCGGGGCACAACCGACTTAGCTTTCTGGATGCATA